CATTCCCGCTGCACACGCAAGTGTCCTGTTGAAGTGTCCCTCAGGGCCACAGAATCCACCTGAGGTGACGGGAAAGGGGACAGAGAGGAGAGCAGTGACAGGACCCTACAAGGGAATAGGGGTGTCTCCGGAGCCCAGCCACTGAGGGGATCCTTTGCGCCGCCTGGGCCCATCGGAGGATCCATGGGTCCTAAAGCTAGAGTCTACTTACGGGGGACGCCCTGTGTGCGTTTCCCAGGACCAGGCCAGGATGCCCACCACCCACACATCCTCCACGCAGTGTCCTCATCCTCCACGCATCGGCCATTGCAAGTAGAAGTCAATGAAAAGCACGCAGGCCGAAAAAGAAGGAAAACCACTTGCCGTTGGCATGACAGTGCGCCAGGAAGCCTTGAGAACCCATGACAGGACTAATTGAAATAATGAAAGAATCAGTAAGAGCAGGATGGAAAGGAGGTGCCGCACCACACGCCGCCAGCAGACTCCGGCCTCCAGGGTCGACAGAGGGGCAGAAAGTGGGCTCGAGGAAGGGGGATTGGAAAAGCACCACTTGGACGAGAAGCTGTTAGAGAATTGGATTCTGAACCAGCTTTCGTTCGCGGGGGCTGTAAACCCGAACATCGTGGAGCAGAGCCCTGCGTTAAAGAAAGGGGCCCCTTGTCGCACTGAGTGAAGACTTAAGTTGGTGCTAAGCTCGCCGGCCCGGCAGGCCTGGCACGCTGCGGTCTCTGGCAGGCGGTGGAGCAAGGCCCTGGGGAGCGCCTGAGCGGGCGCCGGGCGAGGGCAGGGGGAAGGGTGCCCCCCAGGGCGGCAGGGCCGTGGAAGCAGCAGTGGTTGGAGGCCAACTGGCAGGCCCCGGGTTCTTCCTGTGGTTAGCCGGAAGCGACAAGGGTGCAGCGGGGAAGGGACCTGTGGAGGGCCCCTGGGGAGGGGGGGCTCCCTTTCTAGGGGAAGGAATTCATTACCTTCGTGTTGCTGGGGGCCCAGATGTCTCAGCAGCCCCTTGGCTCTGAGGTGAAGACACGGCTTTTATGTGGATTGTGTGAACTGGGCTTGTCTGAGACGGAATGTACCAAGTAAAGGGGAAGCAGCTGCCCGGACGGTCAAGGCGGGGCGAGCACTGTGGCACTGGGTGGTGGTTCGTGTTTTCCAGTCTCACGCGACTGTCTCTCAGTTCCTCGAGGATATGTTCAGACCCCATTGTGATTTGGCTCTTTGGGGATAGACTTCATAAACACATAACCCCCAGGGCCGTCAAACGTGCATAGTTAGCAAATGCATTTTAAGAGGCCGGTGGCCTTTTCTATCTACATATTTTGTTTTGATAAAAAAGGAGATTCTTTTTTATCAAAAATAACCAGAGTTAAATTTTGGGATTTTTTTTTTTAAAGATTTATTTGTTTATTTATTTATACAAGCACTGGGTACAGTCAGAAGCACAGGAGGGTGAGAGAATTCACCGAGCCAGAGCGGGGAGCAGAGCAGGCAGAAGGACAGAAGGACACTGCTGAGGGGAGCAGCGGGTGGCAGGAGAGGTCTGTGCGCCATGCGGGACCCTCCTCCGGTGGCCGGGGAGCAGCCGGGGATGGAACCGGCACCTCAGAGGCTGCGGGCAGCTTCCCAACCCAGCGCTCAACAGCTGTGCCACCGGGGAGGCCCTAAATTTTGGGATATTTCTTAATAATGTTTTTAAGTGTATCTTAAGTCATGGTTGTCTGAGGCTGTACAAAGGGGCCCACATGCTGGTTAAGTCGCCCCAGTTTCCCCTGCCCTCTGCGCATGTCGCTCCAGGCTGTGTGACTCTGTCTTGTGGGGATGCTGAGATTTTTTTCACTGCTCTGTCACCAGCCTTGTGTGTGGTTTCTGATTTTTCACACTGTCATGCAGAGGAGTAGTTTCCTGAATTGTTTTGTTTCTGGTTTGGCTTTAGGATTTATTCCTGGAAGCACAGTCCCCGGGTCAGAAGGTAGAAACATTGCTACAGCTCTCATTGCTATATATGACTAGTTTTAAGAATGTCAGCCCACTAAGTCTATCAAAGTGCTCATTATGAAGTGGCTACTGCAATAGCTGTGATTGTCTTGTCTATTTTTCAGGTAAATTTTTAGTGCTGTTCTTAGAAGTGTTTGTTAATTATAAAAATATATCTGAACATAAAAACCGTATTCCCCTCCCCCAAGTTTTTTTTTTTTTAAGATTTATTCATTTATACAAGAGCTGGGGTACAGGCCAGAAACGTGGGAGGTTGAGAGGACTCACCAGAGACAAAGCAAGGAAAAGAAAAGGCAGACAGACCAAAAGCACTGCTGAGGGAGCAGCGGGCGAGACAGGAGAGGTCTGCTGCGCCATGTGGGCATCTCCCTGGCCAGCAGGGAATTGAACCCGTGCTGAGAGGCTGCGGACAGCTTCACAGCGCTGCACTCAACCCGCTGCGCCACCGGGGAGGCCCTCCCCCAAGTTTTCAGAATAAATTTTCAGAATAAGTCAAGTAACCGACCATCTTAAAAGAAAATTTATATGAAGAAAAAGAAATCATCCTTACACACCCATCATTATTGTTTCATCAAATCTCCATCCCTCCCTCTTCTGTGAATTTTACATAGTAATTCCAACTATACATACATGTATTTTTGTACATATCTACATATACTTTTATTCCAACGCGCATGAGGCTTGGGGTCCTGCTCTTTAATCTGACCTTCTGTCCCTGGCACGTCCTCGCTGCGGCTGCTGCGTCTCCCTGCCGCCAGCCATAATGACTATAGGTTTCTCCACCTGCTCCATCACCACGTTCCCCTAAACCATTCCTAACCTGAACGCCCAGGTTACCTCAGATCTGCCTCTGTAGAACTCTGGTGAGTGTGGGCCGTTTCCTTAAGTTCGAATCCCCAAAGATTGGGTCTGAATTTAAGATTTTCACCATTCAGAATTGGCGATAGTTGATGCGGGCTAGTCTGTACATTAGCCCACCACTGAGCTTTGTTCCAGTGACCGCACGAAATGTGGGCAGTCAGACCAACGGTTCCCAGGCGTGCTGTGATGGCCTTGGTCAGCAGAGTGGTCGGGCCGGGCCCTGACGAGGCTCCGGAGCGGCGCAGAACAACTGCATGTTCGCTCGCGTGTTCCGTCGGTGCAACAGGGAGTGAGCTCAGCCGCCACCACAGAAACCTCTGCAGCCTTCGCCAAAGAGGAAAGAAAATGTCCAGAAGTGGGGGGGTGGGGGGTGGTCATTCAGTTCCCCTGAGATTCCCCCATTTCCTTTGGGGAGAATGTCCGCTTGGGATGGAAATGCCTTTAGGGAGCTGCCTTTCTGCTGAAGCAAACGCCATCCACTGTGTTTTCAGAAATGCAAAATGGACAGAGCTCATAAATGCTGCTTTGTCCACCCAGAGCCGTGTGGTCTGGCCCCCAGAGTTATCTCAGGTCGCACAAATAAATCTGGCGGCCTCCAGTTGTCTCAAAGTAAGCGTTACCTCCTTCCGCAGCGTCTCCCTCCTCGCAGATTTTCCGCTGGGCCTCCAGGCTTCTCACCGGCGTGCCCTGCTCACTGCTGCCAAAGCTCCAGCGGGGTCCTGCCTGTGTCCCGCATCATTTCTTTGTTCTGGACGTCTGTGTGTGGTTTCCCAGCGCCCCTTCCTCCCCCGCTCCCATCACCATGGCTGGTGACACTCACCAATGTGCCATCCGTATGTTTATGTCTAGAATATCCTGATCCCACCATCGGGAGAGCATCTGATCTGCTCACACCCCTGCCGTCAGGAACCCTGGTCACCCCACCCCGACCTTAGGAGCCATGGGGAAGGTTCCAGAAGACAGCGTTAACCCCTTGACTGGAAGACATTCCTTCCCAGGACTTTCTTTCTGCCTTTGCAGCACAAGCAAAGGGGGCTTCTTGGAGCCACGGTGGACGGGCCGTCGAGCTCAGTGCTTACTCATGGGGTCTCAGAGCAATGCATGTGGGGTGCCCCGCCCCACCGACCAGCACAGCCCCTGCGCCGCGGTGGGGCCTAGACTTGGGGAGCCCTTCATGCCCGGTGCGCCCCCTCTACCCCGCCACAGCCAGTGGTGTGGAAAAACACCATGTGCTCTGAATCATTTTCTTCTCTCACCGTCTGCCAGGTCCCACCGGCTTCTGAGCCCAGGGGAGGGGGTGAAGCGCCCCTCGGCCCCAGCCCCGTGCCGCAGAGCCCTGCAAGCTCTTCCTGGGGACTTGAGGGTCCTAGGACAGCCTGTCTCCACCGCACCCCTCCCCTCCTCTCCTCCTGCAGGGGCTTTCCCTAGGCCCCGCAGCGACACACGGGCAACCTGAAGGTCTGTTTCCTAAACCCGCTGTGGAAAAGCCCGTCCTCAGGCCCAGTTGGAATCCGGGGAAGGCAGCCGGAGGAAATGCTCAGTGAAGAGAAAAAAGCAGTTGCGTTGAGGGTACGGTGGAGATGCAGCGCCCTTTCCTCCCTGCCCCCCAAAGGGAAGTTTGTATTCTTTTCAATGAAACCGTTTTAAAAGCCGGACTCGAGCCTAACGGGAGCCAAGGTGCTCCCGAGTTCTCAGAAGGTGTGGATTTATTTACTGCAGTTAAACCCTAATTAGTTCTCAGGGGACAGTGGATCTTTTAAACGGCTCTATCGCCACCATATTGGTTTTCTGAATAATCAGAAACTTCTGTTCCGATGACGTTCGGACAGAAACGCACGGTAAGTAGAAACAAATGTCAGGGATTGCTGGTTGTCACTGGCGACGGGACACGTGGGGAGACGTGACAGGTTCCTGGGGTGTCTCCTCGCACCTGGCCGTCCACAGCCCGGCAGACGGAGGCACATGGCCCGCACCCCGGCCTTTCCCGCAGGAAATCGTGTCTTCTGGGCCCCTTCGCTGTGGCCCCACTGCAGAGGGGGTGGCGTGCCTGGGAGCAGCCAGCCTCGCGGGGGTCCACAGGCTCACGGGGTCCCAGCCAGGGGTCTCCCGTCCCCCCATCCGGCTGACCACTCTTCCCGCCTTTGCAGGTTGATGTTCAAGATGCCGCAGGACATGGGCCTCATCGCCATCGCTGGCCGCCAGACGCAGGGCAGAGGTCAGTCACCTGTGGGGGCTTTTTCGGGTTTTGTTTTCTCAAATCTGGGCCCGTGGCAGTCGGGGCCCATGGAAGGCGCCCACTGAAGGGGAGTCAACTGCCCGGTGAGGTCCCTTTTCACCCCATGAGGTGGAGGTGAGGGAGGGAAGTCACCCTAGCGGCACCTCAGCAGAAGGAAAGTGTTCTGCAGATCGGGGTGTTCTTTCTCTGCTGACATCAGAGCCGGAGCTGAGCCTCCCCCCACGCCTGTCCCACCCTCTCTGCCCTCGGAGAGTCCAGGCGCTGCTGCGTGTGACCCATACTGTGCTGCCAGGATTCCCCGCCCCCACCCCCGGTTTCCCTGCAATGTTCCTCTGTGTAGACACTGAGAGTCACATGGCGGGGCCGGGGTGGGGTCTTTTGTCTGCCAGCCCCCACCCCGTTGGGCTCTCCACCAGCGCCCCTTAACAAGGTGGCCAGAGGCAGAGGGCTGCTTGCAGCGCCCACCACCTGCCGACCCCCAGAGACCGCTGCATTCTCCCAGAGTCTACTTGGGGTGTGGGCAGGGGAGCCCCTGAGCGTGTGCCCAGCAGGAGGCTCCCCCCCAACCCAGTCACCAGCGTGCTTCCATATGCCCTCCTCAGAATGGAAAAAAAAGAAAGAAAAAGCCCAGTTTCCACTTCTGCCTTTTAAACGTGTATTTTGAAGATAACTCAGTGAGAGAAAAATTCATTCCAACAGGGCGGTGAAAGAAAGGCCACGGAGGGCTGGAGCTTGTGACCTGCCCATCCTTATGACTTAATTTTCCTGCTGTTTTTTTTTTCTTTTTTAAGATTTATTTTATTATTTATTTACACAAGCACTGGGTACAGTCAGAAGCTCGGGAGGGTGAGAGAATTCACCAGAGCCAGAGCGGGGAGCAGAACAGGCAGACTGATGAAGTACACTGCTGAGGGGAGCAGCGGGCGGCAGGAGAGGTCTGCGCACCATGTAGGACCCTTACCTGGCGGCTGGGGATCGAACCGGTGCTGCAGAGGCTGCGGGCAGCTTTGCAACCCAGCATTCAACCGCTGCGCCACCGGGGAGGCCCAATTTTCCTGCTGTTTTAAGAAAAGTAACAACTCAAAGAGTTAATATCAGGGATCACTTTTTAAATTCGGCTTTTGAAAAAACAGCAAGCGCCCGTCGCCGCCCAGGCCCCCCCCAGCTCACATGTCTGAGGCTGCTCTGGACTCCTGGGGGGCCGCCAGGGCCTCTCGGGGCCAGGGTGCATGCAGGCTGAGGTCCCCACTGCTGCGTCCCCACCTGGCGGGGACGTCAGGCACGGCAAGACCGTGAGCCTCGCACACACGACGTGCTCCCGGGGACAGAACCAGGCCGATGGCTGGGAACTTGGGGAATGAACCCCGGGACAGCTGGGGCCTGCATCAGCACAGGCTTGTTCAGAGGGGACCTGTCTCCTGTGTGGGGCTCTGGGTCATGGGGCACCACAGGCGTCTGCCGGTCTGTGTGACGAAGTGACCGTCCCCCCCGCGGGGGCCTGTGTTCCAGGGCGGGGACGGAACGCTTGGCTGAGCCCCCTGGGGTCTGCTGTCACCACACTGCTGGTCTCCATCCCCCTGAGGTCCCCGCTGGGGCAGAGGATCCCGTTCGTGCAGCACCTGATGTCCCTGGCCGTGGTGGAGGCAGTGCGGTCCCTCCCTGGGTACCAGGTATGTAGTCTGGCGACGGCTCTTGGGAGCGCTGGCTTGGTGGCTGGGGATGCGTCCCAGCTGGCCCCTGCAGCTGCGGGGTGCTCCCGGAGCTGTGGAGGCGCCTAAGGGTTTCAGCTGCATGGGGGACCAGGCCGGACCATGTTGTGCCCAGAATTCCCGCCTGTGTTGCCGGCCTGTTGCCCGGACGCCCTGCGCGGGGAGTCTGTCTGCACGATTGGCGCGCCGGGCTTCAGAGCCAGGAGCAGGCTGGCTGTGATTTCTGGGGAGAAGGCTCCTTGTGCAGGCCTGAGCACCTCCACAGGCCCCCCTCGGTGTGCTGTGGTCCGTGCTGGAGAGTCCTTGCTCTGCAATCACTGGGGTTCAACGTCCGGGTATTTGGGACCGCTCCTCCCCGCCCCCCCCCCCCACTGTGCGGCTTAGGGTGCCTGCCTCTGCCTCCTAGGTCCTGGAGGTGCTGTGGCCAGTTATGGAGACGGTTAGCTTGGCTTCCTTACCCAGGCTCACCCCCTCCCCATCCTTGACCTTCCTGGAAGGATTTCACGTGGATATAAAAAGGGGTCCCTGCCAGCCTCCCTCCCACATATGGCTCTTCTGCTGGGCTAGAACATCTATTGTCTTAACTCCTGAAGCAGGAAGCTAAGATCTTGACTCCCCCAAGATGGCCTGACAGCAGGGGAGGGTCCTCGACCCCATGGCTCCAGCCAGGGCCTCACAGCCAGGGACTAGGACAGTGTGCGTGTCCCTGGTTACGTCTCCCCGCCCCACCACACTGAACCCCAGCACCAGTCCGCCCCCTTGCTTCGTCTGGGGGGCTTGGCTCCTCTGACCTTCTCTGACCTTCACAGACCAGCCTGCCGCCCTGAGCTGTCTCCCCTAGTAGAAAGCTCCCTCGTGGGGACAAGTATTTTTAACCCTGGCAACAGGTTAATCAGTCTTAGAAAAATCAGTAAATTGAGCCTCGGAAATTAGCCTGTTTAGCTTCTCGTGGCTTTGGTTTTGACCTTGTGAGCTCACTTGTTAACATAGTGTTGTCGGCCTGCTGTGTGCCCGGCGTCCCCGGGCATGTGGGGGGCGTCTCATCCTCCTCGAGGTGCTCCCAGCAGCTCTCCAGTTTCTGCATCTTCTGGCTCAGCCTCATCTCTCGGTTGGCTTCGGGTTTGTTTTGAACACAGCTCGATCCCCTTGCCCAGGACAGCTTCAGGGCGCTTGAAATGGGCCAGGGTCACAGAGAGTTTGCTTGTCCTCCGTCCTTCACTAGTGCCCAGCCTGTCCCTGGCGAGGTGTCCCCGTCAGCATACAAATCATGCCCTGGATGGAGGCAGCTCCCTGGATGCTCACCGTTCCTTCCAGAACCCCACATGGCCACCGCCTCTCAGTCTACCTGGGGGCCCAACTCAAACGCTGTTTCCTGACCCTCCGGCTACAAAATGCCCTCCCCAGAAACACCCCGCCACCCGAAATGTCTCAGGCCTCTTACGGCATCTCCGAGGATGACTGAAGCCGAGTGATCGTGCTCCTGCTGTGTCTCCTGCACCGCGGCCAGCAACCTGGAGGCTGGGCGGGCCTCACCCCCAGAGTGGAGTGGGGCGCCTGCGGGCGCGGGGGGCCCTTGCAGCTGTCCGAACAAACAAGTCAGTGAAAAATAAGCGCCTGGCCTTTCTCTCCATCCTGGAGCAGCTGTCCTTGTTCACCTGCATGGGGACCCCGGGTTCCATAAGCTGTAATGTGGGTCCTGCAGATGTGAGGTCAGACCGTAGCCCGAGAGCAGGGCAGGCCAGACACAAGTGGGCCCCCCGGGGGTGCTGTCGCTGGGCCTTGACAGGGGCGGCGTGGGGCCTGGGAGTGAAGCACTGGAAGGCGAGAGAAGAGAGAGAACGGAATTGTGAGAGGGAGCAAGACCAGATCTCCTTGCAGATGTCCTAAGTACCCTCTCCCACCCTTGCCCCTGATGCTTGGGCGCCCACATCTTTGGGGCGTGTCCTGCGCTTTTTACAATGTGGTGCAACATCTCTGTTCTCTACCCACTGGGTGCCAGCAGGACTCCCTCAAGCTGTGACACCCAGCGCTGTCTCCCAGTGTGTGTGTGTGGGGGGGGGAATGCTATCCCCGGCCCCATTGGGAACCCCCTATTCCATAGGGAAAGAATATAGGACACTCCCTCTCAGTTAGGGTCACGGCGACCACCCCATGTCTTCCTGTTTATGCTTTTGTTCTCCTGTGGTCCCGGCTTCTCTCTCTGGATGCGCTGCTGGGGAAGCCACGCTTCCAGTGACAAAGACCCACTGACTGGCCGCGGTGAAGGAGGCTGCTGGAGGGAGACCAGGGCCTTTCTGGGCAGCAGCTCCAGAACAGAGGATCAAGGCAGCCCCTGGTGTGGCCTCAGGCAGGGCACACGCCTCTTTGAACCTCTGTCCTCCTCTGTTAACAAGGGGTGAACAGTAGCCCCACGTCTGGTATAAGGAGACGGAGGTGGGATGGGCTCCCCTGTTCCACGCACCCCAGGCCATCGGCCTGAGCCCGGGGCCACCTGCGACCAGGTGTGACCCCGCCTGTGTCCCAGAGTCACAGTCACTCAAGACGTGGGGTCGGGGTGACCCGTCTCAGGGCCTTTCCACAGTGACCGGGGCACAGGCAGAGACCCGCGGGGTGGGGAGGCCGTGGACACAGGACAAGGCCATTTTTGTTGGCAGCTCCTCCAGGCCTCAGCAGGAGGGATTCCTCCCTGTGTCTTCGCTGCCTTCACCGGAGACGTTGTGCTGTTTCCTGTTGCAGTGGTGACCTCCTGAGGAGCATGGCCGCCGATGGGACAAGGAGCCCCGAGCAGCGCGCTCCGCTGCCCTAGCACGCCGGGCGCTCCCTGGCGGAGCGGATACCGGGGTCGGGGATTGAACTCACGAATATGAGCATCCTTGTTGCGTGTTCTTGATGACGGCGAACGCGGCGGGGGGCGGGGGGGATGCGGGGAAGATGCCACCTGGCTCTGGTCGCTGGCCTCATCCCAAAGGGACTTGTTCCAAGGGGTCGTCCCAAAGAAGTGGCCTGAGCGACGAGGACAAGCCCGGTGCCCTGGGTTTCTGGAGCGTCCGGCTCCTCTGCTGGCTCACCGTGTCCGGCCGCCGCAGGTCCCAGGGTCCCTGGGTTAACACACAGCTTTTCCTCCAGGATATCAACTTACGAGTGAAGTGGCCCAACGATATTTATTACGGGGACCTCATGAAGCTTGGCGGAGTTCTGGTCAACTCAACCCTCATGGGAGAGACGTTCTATATACTTATTGGTGAGTCTTTAGAGCCTTTCCCAGCAGATTCAGATTAATGAAAACTTTCTCCACCTGGCTCCATGGCGGGGGTGGGTTATCCTGTGAGGTGACTTTTTCTTTGAACCTCCATGTCTGCTCGACGGGTCAGACTACCTGAAACCTGGCCAGGGGTTTAGCGCTTCTCTGTGGCCTGGAAACCACCGACTTGGTGACCCATCAGATGGCTCTTTCTCATGCTTTTCCAAACTCCTGTTCCTCGTGGAGTTAGAAGTGGTGAAACTACACATCTAATGCACCATTTTGTCATAAGAAAACAAAAAGTTAACTTCCAGGGTCGACCTCCTGGTGCTTTTGCCTTCTTCAGCTGATCTTCCCAGAAAAAGATGAAAACATGTAAAAGTCACTTTTTAAAAAAGATTTATTTTATTTATTTATGCATACAAGAGCTGGGGTACAGGCCAGAGGTGTGGGGAGTAAGAGGATTCACCAAGACAGAGTGGGGAGCAGAACAGGCGGATCTACTGAAACACGCTGCTGATGGGAGCAGCGGGGAGACAGGAGAGGTCTGCGCCATGTGCGTAGCTCCCTGGCGGGGGAGCGAACTCTTGCTGCAATGCCTGGCGATAGCTTCATAGTGCTGAGACTTAACCCTTTGCGCCATCAGGGAGGCCCAACAGTCACCTTATTCTTAATGTTCAGAAGAAGCCCCAGGCTGGTCATGGGGGGTCCCAGTTTCACCCTCGGCACCTGTGTCACCAGCCAGACAGCCTCATTAGTGTTTCCAGAAGTTCTTAGACCCCAACCACCAGCCTCCCCCTAAGGGATTATTGCTGATCAAAAATCCGTGGTAGACAGAAAACTTTTGTGGGCAGTGCGGCGGGAGAGCACACAGCTCTGCGTCCTGCGGGCTAGATTGTTCTGGGCTAACTTGCTCAGGGCGAGCTGCCTGCACCCCGGCTCCATCCATCTCCACTGGGTCCCCAGGTGGGAGACAGAGAAAAGGAGGAGGGTCCGGATACGGAGGAGGTTCAGGGTGCTGAGGGCTTCTGTCCGCGTGGGGCCAGAGAAACATTTCCCTGTGGGGAAACCGTAGCTTTCACTAGAGCTTGGGGGTGCTGGGAAGGAGGGTTGGGGTGACTTGGACCTGGAAGAGATTCAGGGTCTCGCTGGTCCCCTAAGGATGCAACCCGAGTCACCAGCAGGCGGCGCTGCTGTTTCCTCGGGACTTTCCACCTTCCGAATACGAGGGGCTCTGGGCCCTTCATTCACACACACACACAAACACCCTACACACACACACACACACACACACACACACACACTCCCCCTACACACACACACACACTCCCCCTACACACACACCCTACCCACACACACCCCCTACCCACACACCACACACACCCCCTACCCACACACATACACCCTACACACCCCCCCACAACCCCTACACACACACACACACACACCACACATACCCTACACACACACCCTACACCCCCCCCCTCACACACACACACACCCGCGCTCCCTGGGTCCTCCGCGTGCGTCTACTGCTCAGAGGGAGGATGGAGGGCGTGAGCAACTGCAGACTCTGCCCCTGTTGCTGTGTTGTTTTTTCCCAGGTGTAACGTACATCACTTTGTGTTGTAGTAGCTATTTTTTGTTTGTTTGTTTTTAACGAGGCTAATGGGTCCTTCCGCTTCCACTGACTGTGACTTAGAACATTTACCAAAGAATAGTTCCTGTAAGCTGCGTTGATCCCTCTGAGCCTGTATTTTGGGAGTTTTTTCCTGGACGCCCCGAAGGGACACAGTCATGTCTCTCTCGCTGCTTCTCGGGCAGGTGCTACTCGCTCAAGACCCCTTGAGGCCGACTCACGGCCCTGCAGAAGTGAGACTCCACGTCTCTGGAAAGCCCCTAGCCTCTCCCCAGGGGACGTGTGTTGAGGAACAGCAGAGATAAGCCTGCTAGGACCCCACTGCCTGGGGTCAGGAGCCTGTCCGAGAGGCCCTGGCCCCCTGGCCCTGGCCAAGAGCGTGAGCCTGGCCTGGACCGCAGGGGACGCTTCCTGCAGAAGCAGCTCTGGGGAGGTCTCATCCCTGGCTTCTAAATGAACCAGATGACCTTGCATTTTCTCCACCCCATTCACTTCCCCAGCTTATCGGTCGCCCTCGGTTTGAACAAGGTAAGGAAGGAAGGGCGGAAAGAAGGTGGGCTTCAGAAAGGCCCTCTGCCCGGTCGACATGAGGAAAGGGGGCAGAGACCCCTGGCGGGAGGGACTCTGCCTCCTTCCGAGGTCGAGCCACTCCTGTTTTCAGTGGCCGGTTTGTTTTTGTCCAGGCTGTGGATTCAACGTGACCAACAGCAACCCCACCATCTGCATCAATGACCTGGTCTCTGAGCACAACAAACAGCAGGGGGCCGACCTGCCGCCCCTGCGGGTGGACTGCCTCCTCGCCAGGGCCGTGACCCAGCTGGAGACGCTGATCGATTCGTTCCAGGACAAAGGGCCCGACGGCATCCTTCCCCTTTATTATAAATACTGGGTGCACAGGTCAGTGCGGGCCAGCCTCGTTCTTTTCAGATTCCTTCACTAAGTCAGCACAGCATGTGAAAATGAGAAGCTAAGCCCTGGTCGAGATAATTTTTTTTTTACCTTTCTGATGGAGAAACGTGGTGGTGAGCAAGTTAGCTCACCTGCTGGCCCCCCGTGCCTCCTGGCGGCGGGCGGTGGGGTCCTGGCAACACCAGGGTGGTTCCCCACGTGTTTAACGTGGGCCTGACTCTGAGACAGACAGTCTACTATGTGGCACATTCTAGACAATAGTTGTTCTCACAGTGAGATTCCAGTCACGCAGCTGCCTCACCTGGGAACTTGTTAGAGAGGCAGCTTCCCCTGCGTCCCACCCTGGGCCTCCGAAGTGGGGCCAGCACTTGTGTGTTAACTAATATTCCAGGGGTGCTCGCGCACCTACAGCTTGGGAAGCCTGATGTGTACCCACAGGCTTCAGCCCTTCAAAAATAGCAACGACTTAAACTGCAGAAAATAACAAGGGAGTGAGGGATTTGTCAGGGGTGGGGAGGAACAAAGTGACAGGGCAACTCGTGCAGTGTGTGGCCGTCATTAGACCCTGGACGGCAGGAAATCCGCAAGGGATAGGAAAGCCACTGAGGATCCTGATGGACAATGGCGGGACTTGAACTCGGGCTGTCCATCAGATAATGTTACGAGGGGGATGTTGGGTTGGCGCTGTGTAGGAGATGGCTGTTAGGCTTATGAGATGCACATTGAAGCTCTGGTGGGTCAAGACCACGATGCCGCTCATAGGTTCAGCAAAGGAAGACCGGGAGCCGGAAGGCGAGAGCAAATATAAAAAGTGTCTGTTGCCGTGAGGATAAATGAATTTCTTTGCACTGTCTTTTCGACTTTCCTGTAGGCTGGAAATTCTTCAAAATAAAATTTGGGGGGTAAGGTAATACTTTTAAAGCTGCTCACCAGGAGGGGACATTTGGAGAGTCTTCAAACGAATTAGCAGTAGAATTAGAATGAGTTTCACTTTTACGTGGCCATCCAATTCTCTTTCAGAAGACAAAACTTACTCAACTCAGCCAAGAACAGGCCCATTTCAGGCAAAAATCCTAGACCACTGTTCAGTGTTTCCTGAACGTGTCAGAGACGAGGGGACGGGCGCAAATCCTCCCCCAGCTGGTCAGCTGGACTCCCAGCTCTGCCCCACGCTTTTGCCACCCGGTCAGTCGAAGGCAGCGCGTCCCCCGCTAACCTCGTCCATAGTTGAGGCCTTGTCCATACGGGCCCTGTAACCTCGAGCAAAATGGCACGTGAGGGCACCAGTGACCGTCGGCTGGCTGACGCCAAGAGTCAAGTTCCTACTGTGGATTTCTGGTCACAGAACACCCCCAAACATCTAAAGACCCCAAACTTCTAATATTCAACACTCATGAGCTGATTGCTGAGGAACCTTCTCCTAATGACGGGCACGCCCTGCAGTAGTTGCCATGCCCCTTTGTTCTTCTTTCATCCCTGACAAATCTCTTACTCTTTGTCTTCACATAGTCATTTTCCAACACACTTAGTCCAGTTCAGGGTCACTGTGGCGAAAGCCAGTCTCAGCAGCTCAGGGCACAAGGGGGACCCCACTCTGGACAGGACACCCTCCCATTACGGGAGCATCACACACACACAACTAGGGGCGCCCTTGAGACCCAACTAACGAGCCCACGGACACATCACTGTGATGTGGGCAGACCCAAGCCCCCTGGTAAAGTCCTACACAGACTCAGGGAGAAACTGCCAACCCCCCAGATGGTGGCCCTGCCTGGGAATCGGGTTTGGTTTTGTTCCCTCACCATGTTATAGCAAAACAGCTCCGACCCACACACTTCTGTTCAAGACCTGCTGTAGTTAGGACACGCCCTGCGGTGGCGAGGCGGGCATGCAGCCTGGGGTGTCAGCTGGCTCCGCGCCCCCCCCCAGCCCCCAAGCCCTGGCGTAGTTGAGTCACTGAACTGTCCACCTCGTGTCCTGTGTGATCACCACATGCTCTTTTTTCCTTTTCAGTGCTCAGCGTGTCCGGCTGGGCAGCGCTGAGGGGCCGGAGGTGTCGGTGGTGGGCCTGGACGACTCGGGGTACCTGCAGGTGCACCAGGAGGGCGGCCAGGTAGAGACGGTGCACCCCGACGGGAACTCCTTCGACATGCTGAGGAACCTCATCCTCCCCAAGCAGCGCTAGTCCCAGCCCCCAGGCACCTTCACAGTGTGAGGGGAGGGTTGGGACCCAACCCCTGTTCCAGCCCACGGTTCTGCAAAAGCAAAATGGCACGTGGAGGTGAACTTTTACTCCCTCTGACAGGAATCTGATCATTTTTCCGCTGGCTTCTGTGGGGGTCATCTTGGTGGTGGAAGGTTTTCTCGGGCAGAAGGCGCCGAGGCCACGCATGGGGCAGGCTTAGGCTTGGCACAGCCCGAGCTAGGTGGGGAGTATTGCTCCCTTCTTGGACTGGGAGGTGTGTTTACGGTTCTCCTCCTGCCCCCCAAATGTTTGTATGTGGAAACAGCAGTGGAATCATTCAAATTATTTTTCCAGCAGTAGCAACCTTTATCCCTAGACTAAGACAAATAAAGCCAAAAAGCTCCAGGACCCAGGCCAGTTTGCCATTTTGTGCCCTCGCTTAGAAGCAGCCAGGGAAGTGTTTTCCAGTGGGACATATACTGGCACTTTGTAGTTGTTTTAATTTTTGTTAGTGAAGCAAAGAGAAAGTGACCTACTCTAAGGGCGCTTGGTGGTTCAACCCCACTATCTCCGCGGTTGCAGAGGCACATCCCACTGGTACGGTGACCGTGACCTTGGCGAGGAAACCAGTTAATTTGACATTATTTTATGAGCGCGCTTTTCATAAGTTAACCTCATATTCTAAAGTGATGGGTGAAGCTGAAGGTCCGTAGTGCTGATGAAGCATTGCTTGGATGTGGGGAGGAGCCTGCGCTGTGCCCGCTGGGGCTGATGTCTCCCTCTCCCACACCGCTGCGGAGACCCGGGGCCTTCAGGCCAGTTCCAGGCTCGCTTTGAAATATGGGGCGCAAGACTGCGGTACAGAGTAGAGAAGAACCTGGCATTTCCTTGTAAATCATAACTTTTGGCCTCATTTTTTCCTATATTGCCAAGATAAAAATGTTACTGATACTAATGCCATCGTTGGCCAGGGGTGTGTGTGCGCACGCCGGGCGTGTGAAGCTTGAGAAGATGTTCAAAATCTGATGCCCTAAAAGTCTCCCTGGAAGAACAAAAGGAAGGAAGCCTTTGATCTGCACATGCTATTTCCAGATGTCCTCATGCCTCTCCATGCACTCCTATCTCTGTGGAAGTTGGGAATCACATTACTCCTCAGCCTTAAAAGACCCGTTTTTGTCCACTTTTCTGTCTTCTTGTCAGTCCCAACTGAAATCAATGGAGAAAAAAAAAAAATACTCCCTGGAGCTCTCAGCTTTGAACAGAACCCCCTCAGTGCACCCCAGCCCCATCTTTATCCAGCCCTCACCCAGCCCAGCTAGTTCCAGAAACTTGTGGTTTTCAGTATAAATTCCGTCTACCTTTAGCCAAGCACAGAGCGCCCCATAGGAAGCAAAAAAATAACATGTTTAGTTAAGTACACCAAACCAATATGTGTTTTTTGGAAATGAAACTTTAAAAGAACTTCAAAAGTAATTTTTGCAAATAAGGCTTCAATTAGAATTAGTTTTCTTAAAAAAAAAAAAAAAAAGTCTCTGTCTCCCAAATGCTCAAGCCTTCTTTGGGAATTAGTGGCAAGTTTAAATAAATGTCCACACCACCCCCAAATTACGAAATGGACTCCCTCTCAGCAGGGCGTCTGCAAAATATCACCAGGAAGAACCATCTCCCTGTGAATGTCGCAAGTTTAATTTCTCAAACTTTGTAATATAAGGCAAGTCATCGCTCAGAGCTGCCATCACTGCCTTCTGTGCCTCTTTTGGGGGGTTTTTTAAAATGAAAAACATGCTATGTTTTGTTTTAAGCTGAAGTCCTATTCTAGACAGTTCTCCTTTGGGGGAAAATGTTATCATTTAATTTCCTTTCGGTAAATTAAAACTAATGAGGTGTGGCTGTGTCACAGCGGATGGAGATGTTTCGGTGTACCGCTTTGCTCTGTGCTTCTAAGACTTACCCGTCTCGACACCCGGTTGTCCTGTGCAAGACTAAACAGACCTGAGGCCAATGCTGCATTTTTCATCAACCTGATTTTTGCTTCAGATGAACCAAAGACTTTTAAATGCTGCTTCATATAGAGCAGCTGGAGAAAGGCATTTTACCTGTAGCTGTTAGCATTAAGGAAACTTTTCTATTTGCTACACTGTAGTCATCGATCTGGGGCATTTATGTGCCTGGAAATCTGTGATCAAGGAGCTTTACAGTCTTAACAGAAGCTTTGCATTTTCTTCTCCATCTGGAAACTCAGCAATTAAACTCAGGATTGGCGTGTGCCGTTAGGACACTGAACTGTCTCCAGCTTAGAGGCTGTGCACTGAGAATCTGTTGGGTTCTGTAGAAGACAAGACATCCTTCTGGGCAGACTATGGGAACTCAAGGGGAAGTGAACCCTAAAATAGGACAGCAATGTCTGGGCTTCGTGGGGTCCCGGCTGAGCTGTGCTCCCCAGCGCGGGGCACCTTGGCAGCTTTCAAAGGGAGTGGTCAGAGCAGAAAGAATTTGGGTCCAGCATAAAATAGTGTGTTTGCTGTTCAGCTGCTGATTTTGCCTGATGTGGGAGCAAGTAGCTCCAACAGGGGTTGGGCACACAGGCCCAGGTGGGGGTTGCAGGCAGCCCCCAGCCCCCAACTCCCACGTACACACATGCGCGCACACACACATGCACTCACATGGGTCACCTCCACCCTTGAGTCAAACCAGGAGACAAGACAGCCCCATCCAACAGTTTCAGAATGAAAAGGGAGATATTTCAGGCTTACATCCTGTCGATCTGTTCGCTCAACAGACAGAAAATGGAGAAACCTTTTTCCTGGATAATTACTATGCATATTTGAAATAAAAATGTAAACCTTTGCATTTTTAGCTTTTCAAAGAACTGTCTTTGAAAAGTATTTTAAACCAATGCCTATAAAAGCAAGTTTACCAAAATAAACTTTAAGACTTTCTATATAGTTTGGACTCATTGTCATTTTTTTTTTTTTTACAAGTTTCATTTTTAAAAACAGGCAGCCCTTTTTGGTTACAGTATTTTTATTCATATTTAAACATATTTTTACAAAATAAATAGTTTTACATAGTAAGGAGTATGTATGTATTTGTAATCATTAAGAAGCGGGTGCTTTGAGGGGATGTGTTTTTGACAAATGTATTCTGTGTCATACAAAAGAGAAATCTTACTACCCCTGAAAGTTATAGAAACCCCCAAAGTAAAAATCTTTTTAACTGAGGTGAGAAAACATCTTAACAATTTAATGTGAATTCTTTAAATTTAAAAATAAATTTAATGTTACAACAAACTGTAAGAACAGAGTGGGGGGTTGTAGCATCTGTTTGAATTTTGCCTTGATGGCTCCCCCCCCCCCAATTTTAACCTGAAGTATCATACTTAAGTTTAGGAGCAGCTGGAATAACGCACCTCAGATAACCCAGGAGCTTCGAGTCACTAAAAATACAAGCTATTGTAATTTTACGGTGTTTGCTTGAAAATACTCTTTTGATTCCATTTTCTCTGTCGCAGCCTCCACAGTCGACCCAGGTACAGTTACAATTTGGTAGACTGGACGGGATTCATGGACCCTAGAAACCTCTCCCACCCTCAGGGTCCAAGGGAAGAGGGCAGGCTGGACAGGACTTGGAAAAGGACAAGAGGTTGGGGGGAGACAGAGAATACAGCATCTTGCAGATGCCCTCAGCACAGCCCTCCACGCCCTGCTCACTTCTCTACACAGGTATGAACGGAACGGCTCTTCTAGAAGGACTTCCTTGGCCATAAAGGAATTCCTTTCCCCATCTTGAACTGGGCTTATTTCTCAAATCCATTTGATCTGGCATTTTTGTCAGCCTGTTGGGCATGACTTTCTCCTCTTTTTGTGAAAGAAAGGCGTATTTATGAAAATTCTCCCTCTCCCCTGCCAGAGCCGCATAGAAGTGAAGACACTATACCCCCAGCTTAAAAGTGCTGGGTCTTAGAGATGGAGGTAACAAGACTACGTTGGTAGTAACCACTGAGCTGCCGCCCCCCAGAAATGACTTCCACAGAAACCTTCTGTTCCAGGCTATGAAAGCCACGCTGTTTAGACAGGAGCGTCCCCTGACTCGCACTCTGACTCAGCCTGTGTATGTCACAGCCTTTGTAATCCATCAGGGTCTTTCTGAACAGTAACCTGTGATCACCACCGGCTCCCAACACCTTGGCGATGTGTGGTCACTAAATCCAGCCCCCAGTGGTTCACAACAAAGTAGACACAAAAGCATTTTGTGGTACTTTATTGAAAAAGATCAGGCGATACCTCATCCAACCCGAACCTTCAATCACGGTTGGATTAAGAGTCGCGTGAGCATAAAAAATAATGGCCAGGCGCAGCTCACCGGGGCGTCCCGAGGGGCAGCGGGTCGCAGGGAGGGGTCCTCCTTCCCTTCTCTGATCCAGCCCCTTGGGTGCCCCACACCTGATCCTAAATTTGCAAATGTTACCTGGACCCTAAGGCAACTAGCCCCCTGGGGAGGAGGCAGGGCCTCAGAGTGCGACCTTGGCGATCATCTCACATCTGCAGAAACAATGAACGCGTGTGCACTTTGATTCCAGAATGAATTAAAAGACGTGTGAAAAACCTCTTTCCACTCAAAAAGGTGGGACGCAATGCCTAGAGTACACCCTCCTTGACAGAGCAGCAAAAGGACGGCGTGTGACTGGCGCGAGCCCATCAAAGACGCCCGGTCAAGGCCTCCATCTGCCTCGGGGCCAGAGCATGAGTTTCGGGTGGTGAAATCGCCAAGCGGAAATATAACATTAAAATTCATGAAAGTTTCTTTTTCGAACCATGCTGGTGCTTTATGATAAAGAATTCCCTGCCCCTGCTTACACACAGGGCAAGCTCACGGGGAGTTTTCTGGCTCCCTATAAAATGCAGAGTGTGGGAGTCTACGCGGGTTTCGCCACATCCCTTTAGCACGTTTTTCTTCCACCGGAGCGCGGCCACCCCACAAGTCTCATATTGCACATGCAATTTAACTACCTTTATTAGCACTACTTGTAGCAAACACGAGGCTGGCGAAGGTCTGCGCGGGTCAGACGGCTTTGGCCTGGGAATTCAACTGGGGGAGGGGCAATCGCCTTGGGCACCTAAACCTTCCACATGCCATTTCATAAAAGATCTGGCCATCTATCTAGCTACATATATATATATTTCTTGCATTTCATGCCTATCGAATATATTCTGAAGGTGCTATTCTTGGTGTTGAGTTCGGGGGTGGGAAGCGCTCGCGAATGGACCCGTCAAGCACACTTGACTTCACCCCTTGGTCTCGGCTTGTTGCTTTTTGAATTGAAGAAAGGGTTAAAGAAAACCACTTGAAAGGAGCCGCCCCAGTGGCTTCCCAAGGCAGGGCGTGGTCTCCCCGTGGGCCCTGAAACCACCGCGCTGCCCTGCGCTAAGAGCGGAGGGCGCTGCGCCCAGGAGGCCGGGCGCAGGGGCTGCAGGGGCTGCAGGGCAGGTTCCTCCCCCCGCGGGCGGACCCGCCTCCAGCGCCCGGGGGGCTCGAGGGCCCGGGGACAGCGAGGGCGCCGGCCTGAGGGCACCAAGCCCCCCCCATCAGGTGGGGGTCACCCGGGGGCGCCCGGCTCCGCCCTTCGGGGAGCCCCCGTGGAGCCAGCGTGGGGCCGGCTCCTCGCGGCCCTCGACCCCGGCGTTTCGGGCGTACGATAAAAACCTAGAAGTCGGCTGCGCGTTCTATTAAAATAGTCGTCTCTGCATAAATTAACGTCACCGCGCGCCGCGCGCCTCCAGCCCGGCCGGCTTTGCGCACAGGCGCCCGGGCGGCCCGGCCGTGGCTGCTCCCCGCGCCGCCGGGGCCCGGCCGGGGGTCACCTGCCGTTGGTGATGATGACCGAGGCGCCCAGGTAGTGCGGCAGGGGCGCGCCGGGGGGCGCGGCGGCGGCGGGGCCGGGGGGCCGGGGCCGCAGCGCGCCGGCCGCCGCCTCGGGGGCTCCGGGGCCGCCGCCGAGGCCGGGCGCGGGGGGCGCAGCGCCCCCCAGCGGCCCGCGCCGCGCCAGCACGCGGTGGTAGTTGAGCAGCACGAAGGGCAGCTGCGCCGGCGCGCCGGGGGGCTCGGGGGCCGGGGGCGCGCAGCAGTCGGGGGCCGCGCGGGCCAGCGCCAGGCGCGCCGCGTCCCGGCCGGGGTGGCGCGCGGCCTTGGCCGGGCCCGGCGCGGGCTCCTCGCGGTAGTGGCCGCAGCTCGGGAAGCTCGGCGGCGGCGGCGCGGGGTCCTCGCCGAACCTGCGCGCGGCGGCGGGCGCTGCGGGGACAGGGACACGTTAGACGCGCGCGGGGGAGCGCCGGCCCCCCGCGCCCCCCCCACCGAGCCCCCGGGTCCCCCCGGGTTCCCCCGCGCCCCCCCGCAGCCCCCCCCGCGCGGCCCAGGGCCCGCCGCGCGTCGCCAGGTGCGCTCCAGGTGCGCTCCAGGAGCCGCGGCCGGCAGGAGGTTAAGGACACGCTTGATTACGCGCAGCGTCGCCACCACAGGATGCAGCGCGCGCTCGGGCGCGGACCCCGGAGCGCACCTGACTGGCTCGCGTCTCCACGACGCAGAAGCGGCACGCGGCGCGGCCCCGCACCTGCCCCCCGGCCGCGCTGCACCTGCACCTGCCCCTGGCCGCGCGCGGTCACAGTCACGCGCCGAGAGCGGCCACGCTGCCGGGCGGGTCCTCGCGGCCCTGGTTGGAGGCGGCCCCTGGGCCCTGGTCACTTCTGCTGATGTGCCCGGGCGGGGAGAGCGGCGCGTCTCGGCCCCCTCGGCTGCTCATGCAGGGCCCCCCTCGGGAAGGAGGTGCCTCGTGCAATCCAGCAGCTCCCTGAATTTTTTCCCCCTTAAGCCACATTTTTTTTTTCCTTTAATAGCAACAAAACTAGAAAGTGGATCACAAATTGCCCCAAATTCGCACCTCTGGCTCATTTTCCCCGTGCGTGACAAATGAGGCAGCTGGGGAACCCCTTTCACTCTCAGCGTAGCAGCGCTACAAAATCCAATTGTTTTCTATCACGGGCCAACTTTCACTCAGAAATAATTCTTTCAAGTCACCCTCAAGCGGGTATTTTCAGCTATCGAAATCCTTGCTTTGTCTTTCTCTCTTGGGCTGTTCAGGGAAACCCCTGCTTTGAGTATTTGAGGGCCCCAGCGCCCACATGGTGGGGACGGGGTCCAGTGTCACTGGGCCCAGGCGGGGCTGCACTGCCCGTGACTGGTTCTTTTCCAAACTGGCTACTTTCAAAAACGACCTGATCATCTCCTGATCATCTCCCATGATCTGTCCCTCTTCTCAGATTTGGAGACAAACCTAACACGCAGCCTGGCTCCCAGCATGGAGATCCTGCAAGCAGCCTGCGGAGAGGCCACACACTCCCCGCCTCCAGAGGGGGAGAGAGCTCTGGGGCGGGGTTCTTTGCCCGGACTGTCACATTTAGCAACCCCGCTGGACCCCTGCAGCCCTGAGTCTGTACTTGGCTGGGCCGCTGGGTCTGCTGGGACAGGAACACAGCCGGTGTCAAACCCCACTCCCCACCTTCTGCCCCTGCTGGGGCTGGGCCCATCGAGCACACAGCAGTCTGTCTGGGGCTGGTGGCACCTCCCCTGGGGACCTCCTCCTGCCTGCGCCTCGCAGGACATGGCGGGAAGTCCTGCCTCTCTGTGCTCAAAACCGCAAGTGCTGGGGACACCCCCTGTGCGCGGAGCCTGCGCCGGGCTGTCCTGCTCGCAGGCGCGCTGAGGCTAGGAGGGCTTGTGCCCTTTGCCCCGGGCCGCTGAGCGGCATTTCTGTCCCAGCACCCATGGATTTCCACCACGGTTTTCCACACTTTGAGCACTGGCAAGGGCAGACACCCAGTCGCCCACATTCAGTTTGGGGTGGAGTGGAAAGTAATCTCGTAAAATTAGAGCT